AGACATCAGCCCATCTACCTATGGTCAACTGATTTTTGACAAAGAGATGAAATCATTTGAGTGGGAAAAGAACAACCTTTTTAACAAGTGTGTATTTCCTCTTGATCTGTTTGTTGTGCATTTGAAAATTTTAGACTGCCTTTCCTTATTTTAGGGTTTTTCTTTCAGGGTTAAGTGGTAAAGATAGATTTATTGTTACATCTCTAAAGGGATAGACCACCCTACTTGAAAGGAAATATGGACAGAGGCTCTTAGGCAGGTTTTATGCTTAAGTCTGTTTATTCCAAGATTAGTATTTCCAGTCCAACTTTTTATGGATGTCATTTGCTTGTACATTTTCCTCCTTTTCATTTTTAGTCTTTTCTTCCCATCTTAAGTGTGCCCTTGTATGCAACATATTGCAGAGCTTTGTTTTTCCTATCTATTCTGCTATTTTTCTCTTAACCCATATGTTGAAGCTATGCACATTGAGATTATTGATATTGACATGTGCTATTGACAATGGCGTATATGGTCCCTATGAAGAAAGGTTCTGAAACTTGCTCTGTCATGAGCCAACATCACCAGCTCTGACACACCTGAGCTCCCTACCACAGGTTTTGTCATGCCAGTTTGGTATGTTGCTTCTTCTCTTGTTGCTGGTGATTTGGGCCCACTTGCCTTCCTCTTCTGTGTTTGTTGATGGGCAGTTGGGGTTATTTCCATTTCTATGCTATTATTGGAAACAATGCATCAATAAACATGGGTGAGCATATATCTGCTTGGGTGGCAGTTATGGTTTCTCTAGGGTTTATCCCCAGTAGTGGAATTGCTGGGTCAGACGGTATTTCTACTTCTAGGTTTCTGAGAAAGCACCATACAGCCTACTATAGTGGTTACACCATTTTACACTCCCACCAACTGTGAATAAGGGTTCCAGTTTCTACACAACCTCACCAGCATTTGTTGTTTGCTGCCCTGTTAAATTTTCCTATTCTTACTAGGGTGGGATAATATCTCCTAGTTGTAGTAATTTTTATTTTGATAAGAAGAGATGCAACTTTTTAAAAGCTGCATACATTACAACCAACAAAAGCTGGGGACACATTTTGTAGACTATCAAAATACTTATTAAAAGCCAAATCTTTTCTCCATAATAAACAGAAAACACATATGATTGAAAAGATTCAAAGAATCATTCCAAACCCACTACCAAATTATGTCTCACTAAATGGAAAGATATTTTTTTAAACTTTTATTTTATTATTTGTGTGTGTGTGTACCATCAAATCAAATCTGACTGGTACAGGAGATTGCCCCTCCTTCCCCGGCAGAACATCTGGTGGATTCAAACCGTGCGCTTCTGGGATTGTAGTTGCAGCTCCTTGCCACTAAGCCAACAGAGCTCCCCTTAAATGGTAAGATATTTTGACATTTAAAATTAGGAAGTCTAAGCAGCGTGGGCCCAAGCCAACACCAGGCACCACAGAGGACCTCCACAATAGCTTCTGACATGCCTCCTGGAAACAAGCCCCAAGGCTGAACCTAAACCGGTTGGGGAGGAACAAGCAAGAGACAGAAGGAAAGAAACACAATCTATACAGGAGTTCTACAGGACACATCACCTTCGCTTCGGAGACAGTATAAGTAAACTTAAGAGACACTGGACACAGGGGGAAAAAAATTACAAAAAATCTCTCTGACAAGCTGTCAAGTCATAGGTCGGACAATGGGACATTAATTCTGAAGGCATTTGGTAGAAGTGAAGTGGTATCCTGCTGGAGGGTGGAGCTGGGAAATAAGTGGGTCAAGGCACTGGGATAAGGGAAGGGACTACACTAACTAATGGGCAACTCCAAAATGAGGGATTTATCTTTCACTACTAGGGCTGTTGTA